GCGTTAATTAATTATCCAAATAAGAAACAGAATTTCAGTGAATTTATTACCTTTTCCTCTCCGGACCCAGGCTAGGGCTGTCCATCGCCGACATTAAGAAAACAGAAAACACAAGGATAAACGTATTTACGTTTTTGCAGCGGTTAAAACAGAAGAAGTTACTTTTAGAAACACTTTTTGTCCTGATAAGCGTCTGCGCTTTTTAGAGGGAAAATCCCATCCTACGTTGCTGCGAGGTTGACTGCGAGATACAAGGTACCCTATTTGCTACGATTTGTCACTATTTGCCACTATTCGCAATATTCGAGACTATTCGTACTATTCGCTATTCGCTATTCGGAACTATTCACTGTTCGCTATTCGACTATTCGCTATTCGGTTTTCCAGACACCCAAGTCATTACATATAAGATATAGCACTCAAGAATGCAAACACGAACCAAAACGAGCACAAATACGACTGATCTACTTTGTCGTCCAGTGGGTACGCTTTCTGAACATGTATACATTCAGAATCGTTGATTTCGACGGACAATATTGTCGAGTAATATGTAAAGGCGAGACAAACTAGAAACTGCGCGTTAAGTTTACCATGTGGCCCATTTTCTCAGGTTGTTTGAAGGCACTCGCTCTCACTGAGATATCGAGTGTGCATGCCGGAGAGCGAGCGACCTCAAATGGTTTGAGAATTATGCTAATGACATCTCCTCATTGGATTTTCTCTTCATTAAGCACATGTTCTGTAATTAGGACTTAGAGCAATAGGTCTGCAAGGGTACATGTGCTTAGCAAAGTGTTTTCTATTGTGTAGCAACTGTTTTTATCGAATTGATTGTGTCAAAATTAGTCTTAAATGTCAGGTGAGTCAGCTCAGTCGTCTGAAAGAGAGCGACGAAAGATACTTTTATTGGACACGATGCAATGCTTATTTCAAGAATATTAATAGTTTATACTTTACTATTTGAATCTCAAAAAATAGGTCATTTTAGCTCACTGCTTGTGACGCTTACCTTGCTCGGCAATGCATCGGCAATTAGCGGAAAATCTTTTCCGACCTCAATGTATCTATGAGACAAATTATACATTTAATTTTGAATCTTCACAATTGAATTAAGGCCTAGCCTTAGGAAGTTCGACTTTTAAAAACCATCAGTTTTTTTTATCCCGTTATATGGCAGAGGTCCTTCATGCAAAGTAACCAACAGATAAACCGTCTGCTGGATTTCATTGTTGAAGACTTTTACCATGAATATGATACGTTGATGCTTTATTTATTAGTCGATTCGTACCGCCACAAGTCGGATCAGAATACACACACTACGAAAAGAAAGGAAACGGCCATTGTCTTAATCGCGGCAGCTTGCACTTACTACCCATGCTTTTTCCTAGAAATGGAGAATTCCGTTAAGAATGTTAAAAAGGCGCTAGGCCCCACAACTACAGTTAACCTAGTGACCCCCAGATTAATCCATCAGGAGGATCTGGATCAAGTCCACGACACTTTCACGGTGTTTTCGCTGTCCAAAGCATTAAATACATACCGATGACCTCTTGGGGTGATCTGGCCAAAAGCTGGAGAACAAGTATCTCGTCAAGGTGAAGTAGAAATCATCACTCCTGCTTCCTTATTTGAACCCAATAATAGTATGGGTTGCATGGACTGTGAGTGTATACAATCTTATATCTGACTTTTTAATCCCTTGTTTCACCCTGTAATAACTTTCTCGTACCTCTGAGTGAAAAGCTTTTTTTCTTGTTCTGTCCATCTCTTATGTGATTCCGCCCTTAAGTTGATATTAAGTCTTCTTATGCGTTCTAACGAAAACAAGAACGAAAGACCGAAAGAGAGAGAAAGTAAAAAAACAATTCTACATTGTAAAATGAACATACAAACCAGTATTTTGAGCTGAAAGTAGATCACTTTTAAAAGAAAACCAGCTGGTGGAAGACTGACCGCGCGTAACAGTTGGTTATTTACAAAGCGTGACAGCGGAGTTGATGTCAGGACTACCGAAAACAAATCCTGTGCCAAGGTTGTGGGTTTCAAAGAGGGATCTTTAGATTATCGATTAAATCCACCGCCCTGAACCACGTGCACTCGGTCACGCCCGATAAGGAAACCCCACTAGGACGTACGTACGGACACTTTCTATGGTCCCTACGGTGTCCTAAAGGAGTGTAACTGCACTATTTTCCCTTCAATATCGTTTTTTTGTTTCGTGCAAATATGTCGCATGAACAGCTGATATCAATATTTTCAGTTCAAATGCTTCTCCTGACCTGGTTTGAAGTTCACCGTGCATGGTTTATCTCGGCACAACGGGAGGTGGGCCTCTGCGATGCAGTTTACTCTCAAATCCTTTTTAAAGATTAAAAAAACTGTAAATTAATCGTTTACTAGCTTGTGGAGCCCTATCCTTTACAGACCTCAGTTAATAAACCTCCTAGTCAGTTCATGAGGCAAAGAGTTGTAGAGTTTTTGGATCTATCCCAGCTTCCTCCAGCCAGTTACTAGCACTAGGCTGATCTATGTTTAGTTGATATATTTCTTTCTTTTAGTTTAAGTGGCATGCCTGTGAACTAGCTAGGTGTAGCTAAGCGAATTTTTTTCATTTATCAGTGCAATAAGCAACTTAGGATATTGCCAGAGCGTTCACATATCGAAACGAGAATTGAACCTACAGGCTGATAGTTACCCACTGACCGTCCATTTCTGGAGATATTCGTTCCAGAAGTATTGTGGATCAAAGTTTGGAGAACTGTGGAGAAATTAACGATATAACTTGAAACTTCAGGGAGGGATATTTTAAAGGAAGCATTAGCACTATGTAAGGTTTAAAAAGTTCATAGAGGTGTATTTTTTGTTTGAACAAAAAATTCTTCTCCGATGCTTATGTTTCGTGAAGTTTACTTTGTACCACTGTTCTTACCTCGTTTCAGCGCGGCGCGTTCTCATATTTTTTTTTCCTGTTGGAGAAAACACAGAACAGTTTGCAGGAAGACAGCGACGGTGCGCAGTCAGTCGCTCAAGTCGCCATTAATATATTGACTTTGTGACGTCACATGCAAGGTAATTAACAACGACCGCGCGCGCTCTGATTGGAAAAATGAAAAGACTAGAAGTCTACGACTAGATTTTAAGGAGAGAGGATGATAAATAAGAGAGTTGAACTCCATATAGATTCTCTCTCTTTCAAGTCATTTTTAGACATGGGTATCCAGGTCTTCCGCGATAACGTTACTACGCTTGTTATTTTTCTGAGCAAAATTAACGCCAGGCTCGATTTCCAGCCGCTGTTCGGGAAACGAGCCTGCGCTCATCCCCCGAACTCGGGAAGGAACAAAGACCGAACGCGAGAGAGCGGCGGAAATCGAGCCTAACGCGACAGACGTCATTGTCTCCCCCAGAACCAATTGTTCCTCTTAGCCAGCGGAGTTCGGGGAAGGAGTGTTAGAGGAAGAAAAAGCTCTTGGGACAGAGTGTTTAGCTAAATTCTTGGACTGAGATTTTCATTAATTTGACGGTGATTTGCTTTCTGAAAATACCATCTGGTGAATGTCTGTAGGTGCTGTGTGACTTATTCGAAATCAACCATTGACATTTGAAATAGTTGAGCTCTCCGTCCAAAAATCTAACCCAGAAGAGTCACGAGTTTCTCTGGACAAAAATCTCCTAAACTTGTACCCAGTTTCTTTCAGCCTACACACGAAGAGCTCGATTCAGAGTGCAGCTTGAATCAGTACACGTCCTCTAAACAAGATATATATCTTTTTAATCACTGACGGCTGTCTCCATTCCCTATTAAGGAAACAACATGACTAGCATTTGCAGGAACATAATACATCACTGCATGGTTGTTAAGTTTTGTTTTGGCCCGTGGGAGCCCAGATGTAAGATTTTTACAACTCCGGTTGTTCTACGAAAATGGAGAGTTTAGCCATGTTCTTACCTGTCTTTATTTCTCTGGTTGTTGTTAAGCAAGCTAGGTAAACTGAACCAAGTCAACCTCAACATTTCAATTGAAGTAAATTTCGCCCATCAGTTGTTACGCTAGCCTACGCTTAGTGTAGCTTTGTTTATATGCTATGTATGATTTTTGTGGCTCCTGAGTCAACTTTTCGAAAGTAAAATGTTTTTTTTTTTTTTTTTTTTTTTTGCGTGTATGAACATTTACTCTACAAGCAAGAAATTTGCAAGACTAACAAATTTCGCTTTAATACTTTGGTTTCACTCTGTTTACAGTACACTTCCTTTGGTCAGTTTCAGTCACCTTCTCTCTAATTAGTCAAAATTAGAATTGGAATCATTTTGATCACAACTTTACTTTTTCATTTCATTTTTCAAAATTATACTAGCGTAGTAACTTGCCGCCATGGATTACGTGCTGTTTTCCACAAGCATGCAAACGATTTTTTTTATACCATGCATATAATAAATCCTTAATTGACCAAGCTTGTTCGTTCAAGATGGCTTGATATAGGCCACGTTCTGTCTTTCTTCAATGACTTATTTATTTTCAAGGAAAAAAAACAAAAACAAAACAAAAAAAAAAAGAACTCGGTCGATATCCAGCCGCCTTGATAGCAAGCTTGGCCCATCAGTCCCATATATAGAGGTTCATCTACTAAAATTATTCATTCGAGGGCGACAACACTACGAAAAGAAGTGAAAAACAGGAAGTAAATCAATTGTACAATGATAATTTTCGCGCTACAAAACGATAAAATTAGATGAATTATGTTGCATTTTTACATTGTAGACGGAAATTGTAACCCATCGTAGACAAGAAGCATTTCTTAGCTAATGACAAATAACTTGCTAGAAATTTGTGCGAAGAGAAATATCTCGTCCAAAGAAAAAAAAAAACGCTCAAGGAGTTGTAACCAGTTTGTTATTTTATTTTAGGGTTTCTGAATGACTGAGAATGATATTAATGGTATTAGTTAAAGGCAGTAATATCTGACCCTGAACACGTACATTTGTTACTTTGTATGTGTGTTGCATTGTCATATGAAGTACTGAAACTCGTCAAAAGATCTATGTGTTATGAACTATTTTTAACACTGAAATTCGGCTTTTCTTTCAGTTTTTCTTTCAGTTTTTACCTATTTAATAAAGGCCACTGCATCATCCCACATTCAAGTTTATAAACTGAACAAAGAAGAAGACGTACGAGCCAAATTGACCTGAACATTCTCTAGCCTTTAACTTCTCAGAAATCATGCACAAGCTGGGCCGGATCATACAGGTAAGAATCTGATCATTGCTTTATTTTTATTATTATGAGTGCACTTCCCTCTCAAAAAAATAATGGTCCTTCCCTGACTGTAACTTTTTGGAATTTGCACCTGCAGGCTTGGAAGAATAAGCTACCTCCTCCACAAAACACCTTGGTGCATCACCATTGCCTGCTTTACACGGGTGCAAGCGCTATACTCTCTGAAAACCAGCATGGAATTTGGAGGTGTGCCGTTTGTAAAAACACAAGTGAAACTCTCAACCAAACATTCTCCTACCACTGTTTCACCTGCAATGACTTTGACATTTGCCGCGACTGCTTCGAGCCGAAGCGACATCTGAGCCACGTCCATGAGCTGAAAGTGGTGAACACCTCGCTTGTCTATGCACACAAGAATGGCCGCTGGGTGTGCGACATCTGTGGAAATGAAAGCAGGTGGTATGAAAAGTATGTGACAATTCTTGTTTTTATACACTCTAGCACCGGTATCTCGAATGGTTAGTTACTGGATATCAGTGTATGAAGATGAATATTCCAAGTCAGAGAAATTAAACAAAAAACAATGTTTGTTTATTGTGGTTAATTCGCTTAGCTACATCTAGCTACACCACAGACATACCATTTAAACTGAAAGAGACAAATATTTCAAAAAAACAAATATTTCAGAAAAACATAATTGGCTTAAAAATCTCAACTGGCGGAAGGCAGACCAGTTGGCTATTTACAAGCATTACCGAGGAGTTGAACTAGCTAGGGTGTATTGAGATACAAATTCAATTTAGTGATCAAATAAAACAGATTTCAAGTCCTGCACCCATATTAAACCAGTCCCCACGCCGCCTCCAAACAATGAGTTAAACATTATTTCGTATAGAGTGGGTCTTTTGAATATCAAAATAAAATTTTTGCAAGTGAAATTTGCGCCAGTATTCCACACGAAAACCTTGAATAGATACATTTTGTAACCTTACCTAAAAATAAAATGGAAATAGAAATTATACTACATTTACATGTCAGAGGGAACGGAACGCTCAGATTGGCTTTTTTGACGGTAAAATAAATTTTTGTAAAAATAAAATGATTTTAATGTTAAAAACATGTGATTAGAATAAATCGATTTATAGTCTGAGAAGCTGATGTGCGGTTTATTATAACTGTTGTTGGTAGCATTTGTCGAGTATACTTAAACCGTACTACGATATTTCACTGAAGTGATGATCTGTACTTTCAGATTTGAATAAAACTCTTACGCTTTGACGATATTGTTGGATTTAACTTTATGTTTTGGTTCTTTTTCAGATTCGCCTATCATTGTTCAGAATGCGAATTCGATGTGTGCCCTGATTGCTTTAAGCCGCACCCTACGCCATTACATGCCCACCCACTGTATAAGTCAAAATCGCAGGACGTGTGTTCAGTGTCCAGTGATTTCTGGAAATGTGATAACTGCGGTTCACCTCAGAGCAGCGTCGCAGATAACAAGCCATGGCATTGCCCGACATGTAAATACAACCTATGTCACTCCTGTATGAGGGCAACGAACGAAGGTATAATGAATAGAAATACAAAAAAATAAGATAATTTTTCCTTGGTTATTGTGTACTTATATATATATGCGTTCCACAGTTTTTTTGTGCGTAATGATTCCGACCACACGAGGACAACACTTTGTAAAAGTTCGATTGATATTTTATCTTCCCATCTTGCATTTATCTCGATCTGTTCAATACGCCTGTCGGTCTTAAAACTTAATTCCTCAGCGTTTTATTTCCGTGCCACAAGAAAAGAAGAAAAATTATCCGTCGTGGTACACGTCCTCCAAAATAATAATAAACACGCAGAACTGTTGTTGACTCCTTGCAGAGGAATTGACGGCTAAGAAATGTACTAAGTTAATTTAGAACCCAAGCGCATGACATTTGGCCTGCTCATCATAAAAGCTTTCGCTTGGTGGCGTTCTCGTTGTCGTCGCCCTCGTGGTTTGCTTAATTTAAAGGAAAATTTAAAGAGGCATGCGATGAATGATAAACACGTGATAAGCACGTGGTTCCGTGACTGGCAACTACATATACACAGTGATAGAGAACACTAGGACGAGTGAAAGAAGGGAACAGAGATATTGTGTGACCCACTGAGCGAGCGTCTTTGAAATGGGCCTCACAAGGGCTAAAAATATCGATGACCGTTTACCAGAATTGATCATGGTAAAATTGAACATAGCGTTTTCTGGCAAAAATTATTAAAAAAACACGAGCTTTCGACAGCCGGTCTACTGTCTTCGACAGAACACAGTAGACCGGCTGTCGAAAGCTTATGTTTTTTTTAATAATTTTTACCAGAAAACGATATATTCAATTTTATTTAGAAGGCCTCGGAGCACGTATAGAAATACAGTTGCTGGACTATGACAGCGGTGACCTTCATGAAGTTATCTTGTTTGAATGGATTATAGTATTGATTTTTAGAGAGTAACTTTGACTCTTTCTTTTGAGACTTTTAGTAGAACAAGGTATACTGAAAGCGCAAACACAGCCGCAGGCGTTTCAATAGAGTCTTCTTTGTTATTCCTGTAGCCTTCGGTTTTAATCGCCTACCAGACGAGCATCCATGGGCTCCAGGACTCCGTTTGACGCCAATTGAAGTGTGGTGACACTCCAAGAATATCGTCCCCCAATGGTGACAGTTGTAAGATGCTGTCTGACACTTGGTGTGGAGCAATTTTTACTATGCTGAAAGTAAATTTAGGTTTCTTATTAAAACATATTAAGTCATGTCATGTAGCCTTTTTCCTAAACCACTTGGATAGAATTCTCGATCGCGTTCTCATTGTTAAAGATTTGGGGGTGAAGTGAAATGTAATGCAAGGTCGTTTTTAACGTAGACTATTTACGAGCCATTTGGTGATAATTTATTCATGGGCAGTCGAGACTGAATCGATAATTTTTCTTACTGTAATGGGAAAAAAAAGGAAAATGGTGAATTTATTATCTTATTTAAAATACAATAAAGTATTTTATCTATCATTATCTAAGTATATCCTGAATGTAGCCATAAACACAAGTACATTGACAGAGATTTAAGAAATTAAAATAGTTTTATTATTTGAATGATTCCTCCTGATGTTTGCTTTAGCTTTTGTGAATAATAATTTTTTGCTAATATATTTATTAAAATCTTAGTCATTTAGATTTTGGCTTATCTCTATCTTGTTCGTAGATTTTAAAGAATTCCTCAGGGGTAGCGCTGTTATCTTCCAGTTTGTAAGCCAGCCCCCTTTTGGTTAAACATTTGATGCACTATTTTTTTTAAAAACTGAACCATTTCGATAAGTATAAATATGGTCTAGAAACAAGAGAGAGTGAAGGTACTAAGAAAGTTCACCCCCCTCCTTTATAGGTCTTGTTCCCTGTTAATTCCCCTAATGATATTTTTAGATATGGTATCCAGTCCTTCTGCAGATAAACTTACCGCGTGCACATTGAAAATGTGTATAAAGCAGCTTGGTCTGTCCTCGTGACTAAAATTCGCGCCACATCACTGGCTAATGCTAGACTTTAAAGACCCTACTGGGATTTCGGAAGATGGGAGTGAACTAGAAATAACTTTAGAAGAATTACCATAGCAATATGGCCTACTGTACTTGTAAGCCTCGGGGGACCTCATATAAAAAAAGACGTCGGGGGTGCTCTTCGGAAATTTTCAAAAGAATCCCTGAGAGGTAACAAAATCCTGTTTTGTGTGTGCGTGGCTTGGATTTTTTTCTCCTTTAAGAGGTACCAATTCTAAAACAACACATAATTTCCTGTCATAAGAATTACCAAAACCGCATTTAATTTTTAACTCCTAAAAGGACGACGAGCACCCCCATATTTTATGCCAGGATTGCCTTTCCCCGGGCATGGGAGATTAACTCTCTTATATTATCTCGATCTGGAACTGGGAGATCTCGACCAACCTGATAATGTTTGAGATCGTCCCTGGCCTGTTGATGTTCTACACCCTAACCGCTCTCTCAGTTGACATATTCAACTTCAAAATAGTTCATCTAGCTGGGTTAATATGAACTGCGTGAGAGGTAAAACACAGCCTTTGAAAGCTAGGTGATATTTCCTTACACATAAGTTGTCAGTAGTTAAAGCTGAAGCTCTTCTCGACTCGAAGATATTAGTTTCAAAAGGAGGCCCTGTGCAAAGGGCACTGTTAGCTTCTCAGAGCAAAGAGTCGGCGAACTTTATGTTCTGACAGACTCATAGGGGTGGCGAATGGTCCTTCAAACACTATGGTTCTCGCAAAATTTTCGTCGGGTCTCGCAGTCTCGTTTTTGTAACGGTTCTGTGTGTCTCGCAGTCTCAATTTTTATCACAAAGCTGCCTCGGTTTCACGAGTATGCTGGCATTTAATAAAAACACTTTAAAGACTCGGTATCGCAATTTAAAAAGTTAAATAGGCCATTTCCAAGTTGCCCTTTGCCTATATGTCAAAACGAATAAACGAGCGACCAGTGTTATGAAAATGCGTTTCATCTTCAAGTCATTTTCAAGCAGATTAAACTCGTTTTTATAAGAAAGGTTTTAGACGAGGAATCGTTTTGAAACAGATGCAAAAGGCAACTCGAAAATGGCCTATTGTCTCGTGATGCCGGTAGTCTCGCCTTCTCGCAAAGTCTCGCATTTACCATTCACCACGGCCCCTTCTGATTAACCCTCGAAACAATCAGCCTTCCAAGCTGCGGAGGTTAATTTGGCTTTATCTATATATGCTATTATGTTTATGTTCATGTTGATTTTTCACTTACTTTAATATCTGGTTTAGTTAATCATCTCCAAATAAATGCCATTCCAGTTTTGAAGTGCGAAGCACAACGTAGAGCATTTAAAAAATTTCTCCCGGTCAAGCAGCAATAACGCGAGTTGCCAGGGAAAGAACCATGTAAATTGACAAAATTGTTCAAAAAAAAAAAAAAAAAAAACTGGAACAAACGTAAAAATTGATGAGAGTTTACTTGTTCGTAGTGGAATGGTATAAAACATGGTATTTGTGTGAATGGCTTGGCCTAGCCTGCGAAACAGTTTCGCGCTCGTCCGCTTGCTTTGCTCCCCGAAATATTTTTTTCCGTCCTTGCCGGGTTCCTGTTTAATTTGCAGGCCAGGCCCGACCTTAAATGACAACCTTGGGTATTGTAAATTCTACAGCTAACACATGATATGATCCAAACGAAATCAGCAAGAGCCTAAAGCATTCCTTCTCCGTAAGAAGAAGACTTATTTACCAGACCACCTACTTAGACATGATATTAATAACAATATAATAGATTTAATCAAAATCTTTCAAGTCGATGAATATTCACTAACTTTAATACCTTTACTGCTGCTTCAGTCCACGTAAACGAGTATAACTAAAACAGTTTATTCCAAATTCTGTTACTTTCTTGCATGTAAAATATTGTTCCGTTTATTTTTGCTGTGTATTTTCTTAGATACGGAAACTTTCTATAGGGTCAACCCTCTGGCAGTGTCTTGTCCTTCTTTTCATATACTACTTTTTTTTCAATAATGAATAAAGTATAATTATTATCAGTTCAGAGCAAATGGAAAGGATATACCAACGATCAGAGAGGCTTAGAATAAGAAAGAAGATCTTTAAGAAAATTTTATTTGATATGGAAGTATTGCTAAGGTTAAAAATAGCTGTGTTATATTAATGGCTTTGCTTTTTCACATCATGGGTGTAATGGCATTACTAGGTTGCCCCCTCGCCCCTCACCCCACCCCACCTTCACAATGGGAATGTAATTAAAAACCGACAGAAGAAAGTTCTACTGGAGGACTAAAGCCTTAATTTTTTTTTTTTTTTGAAAAATGGCAAAAGAAAACATCCCACGCAAAAGAATGGAGGATTGTCCTCGAATATATAATGAGGAAAAAGTAAGCAGGTGAAAGTTGTGCTCGCGGAAAAGCAACGTGTATTTCGGCCATTGGAAAGGAAACAGCCGGCGGGTCCAGGCCAGCAAAGACCTCTGGGACTACCGGCCTCTTCCTCGAACAAAAGAACATCTAAGAGTCAAGATGGCGGAATCACTCGTGAATGAAACTGTGGCGAATCTTTCGGCGGCAGTAAACGAAACGGCCAAGAATGCCACTGGAAGAGCCGCGGCAACGCCGGAAGGAATGTTTGTGGCGTATTCTAGTTTGGTTTTGATGGCCCTTTTACCAATATTTTTTGGTTCTTTTCGCTCAGTCAAGTATCTCATTGAACAGAAGGTTCGTTGATCACAATTTTTTTTTACTTCTCTGGCGTTTATTGAGTTGTTGTTTTGTAGATTTACTTCCTAATATATTCTTAGAGAAGTCGTTTGTTACAAAGTGACTAACCAGAATTCTGGCAGTTTACTTCAGTTTAAACCAGAAGTGCTTTAGTTTCGTAGACGTGTACATTGAGTTGTAAGGCTAGTTTCTAAAGTGTTTTTTTCAGTCTCTCGCGTGGGTGAAAGGAACACGCTAATCGATTTCCGCTAATCACCAGTAGCAGATTCATAGCTAAATGTCGTTTCAAATGTTCCCCGATCGTAGTAAATCACAACAGTTGGTCATAAACAAACATTTTCGCTTTTTACTTTCAACAAACTGTGGTGATTCAATTGCTCTGAGTTATTAAGCTTAACTTGTATAATTTTTTATTGTAGTATAATTTGTTAGTTTACCAATTATTGTATGCCTAGTGGAAGGCATGGCGATGTAATGGTTATGACATCACTCCCAGTAGTCATGGCTTTAGGCAGACCTGTGATATGGTGATGTTCTTGGACACTGAGCCACTGTACATGTACCCTAATTGTGCTGTCACTTACATTAGCCATATACATGTATACAGTCTGTAGTTAGTGGCAAATCATCTGCAGCAACCTGTCAATGTACCTCGATACATGAATCTTACAATAGACTAGAATCACACCAGGAATTCTCACCAACTCGTTAACATTGTTATCCCTAATTTTCAAATCCTCATTTTTTTAACCTCCCAGTTGTTCAGCATTTTCTTGCTCCCTGGGCAAAACTGTGACAGAAATTTATAGCCAGCTTCTCAAACTCCTGCATTTTCTGTAACATATCAATCAATTCGAAGAGCATTTGTATCCCACTTCCTCCAGACACATCCCTGGATATTTGACTTTACTGAAAATGTCTGACCAAATTCCTTGCTACTATTGGCAGTAATATCTTGATAACATGTTTGAAATGTTCTTTTATGGGAGCAAGCAGCTCCTCACCTAATGTGTGTTTCTACCAAGGCAAAAAATGATAATCTTACAAAACAGAGAGTGAATCAGGGAATGATAAGAGAGGTGGCCCTTGTCAGAACATCTGTGAATTATGGAATCCATAAGCTTATGGTCGCTCACCAGCAGCCGGCCACTGATCAGTGCAGGGGTTTCATGAATGTTTTCAGCAACAGGGAAACTTGTTTTCACAGGCAGGGAAAACTTTTTGAACTGAACTTGTTGATAAGAAAAATGGTCCTCCAGATAGTCAAACCAGGCAGGCAAAATCATCCTCACAGTTGGTCAATTTGCCTGGTGCCCTGCACTTAATGAAATCTCTGTCAGAGACCCTTTTCCTAACATCTATAATATCTACTAACAAACCTTTTGTCAATAATCAAGTACCTGAGTAGGTGGGCCTCACTTTGGTTCAAATTTACCAACACTGGTGCCAACCTTGAACCAGATGCCTGGGATAATGCCCCAAGTGGGATGAGTGCTCATGGAATGGACTGACAAATGTACAGTCTCTTTTGACAATGTAGGGTCTCTTTTTAGTGACACTTTTTCAACCTCCTCACCCAGTAATGTACATTTTATACATGGAGTGATCAATTTATATAGATATTTTATTCCTTTTACATGTTGACTGTCACATTACGGTTATTTAAATTTGCAAAATAATCTATATACATGTACCTACATGTATGTCTTTGCAGAAGTCTGGTGAACAGCCCGAAAGCATGACATCAAAAGATGCTGCCATGTTTCCCATCATTGCCAGTTGTACCCTTCTGGGTCTTTATATCTTTTTTAAGGTGAGTCTTTGTGTACTTAGTGAAGATTAAACAACTCTGTGAAGCAGAAAGGATGGCTACTACCAAGATTCTATGATAAGATTCCAAGATTCCAAGATTCCATGTTAACCAGTTTTAGTCAGAGTAAACTGATGTCCAGGGCAATTCACATGCTGGTTTCCTTCCCTGTTCAAGAGACTCCTGATGTTTGATTTGAAAAAAAAATCCACACTTTTGAGTATAAAAGAATGATGGTTTAGATGACAAAAATAAGAAATTAAGGACACTCTTCTTGAGACATTTATTCCTCAACCCTCAAGACTATACAAGATCTTTGACTTGGTAAAAACTTGACAACTTGATAATTAATCCGCAAGAAACTGTTAAAAATAATACTTTTCTATGGCTGCATTGATTATACCAGACTATAAACCAGTATAGTCAAGGCAAAAACGGATGAACGTAATTTTTCTTCTTTGAACATGAAGCTCTAGAAAAAAACAATTAAGCATGCTATTATAATAATTTGAGAAGAGTGGTTTAACATGTACCTGGGTATCAAAATGACACATTCCTTTGCTTTCATTTGGTTGCTGAGGTAATTTAATTCTAGAACTTTCTTTTGACCAGACGTGGTTAAAATGTGTAACAACTACAGTAAGGTTGATGATACCATTTGAAAAGAGTTTCTTATTATGACTTTACTGTATATATATGTAATTTAATGGCAGTAGAAGTGAAAACTAAAGAAAATGTTTTAGTTGTTAGAAGCTCTACAATGTAAAGTGCCTGTAATTGTTGTAATAAAAATTGGGTTTTTGATCTACAGGGTGTAGTTGTTTTTTACATGTAAATTTCTTTTAGTTTCAGAATCGCTAAGATGCCTACATGTATATTTTGTAGCAGTGAAAATTAGGCTTTTGATCCAGTAGATTTTGTAGTAAATACCATCCTGTATACTTATATATATTTTTATAAATTATTCTGTTTTTATTTCCTCCACTACCATTTTAGCTGTTCAGCAAGGAATACATTAACTTGCTTCTCACAGTGTATTTCTTTGGTCTTGGTGTGTTGGCTGTCACACATCTGCTCAGGTAACTGATCAATATTAACAAATGTCTGCTAACAAGGTCATCAAACATGTTTTAATTAATATGGATGACATAAAAGAGAATAAGAGAAAACTTACAGTACATACCTCATATTTAAACAAATGGTCTTAGAGTTTTCCACCAGATGTATTTTTTTAGACTGTACATTTAATCAATGCAGAAGCCAAATCCCATAAGGAGAGGTGTTAATAAGAACATTGTGTTAGAAATAATGCCAATTTCTCTTTCTTATACTTTGGATCATAGTTAATAGAGGGGACTGGTTATGAAGCCCGGCAAACATCGAAGGAGCAAACGAAGGTGCCAAGATTTATGTTGGAAGGTCCACAACCATGCACAATCTTTTGTTTTCTGTTCATACACTATGCATGAATTACATAACCAACATATTTCTATTGGTTAGTTCCTCAGTATAGAGTAAACAACTATTATGTTTTGTGCACAGTCATGGCCAAAAAAGCAAACAAAAACATACAACAAAGAACTTTGTCAGGTTTCATAACCACCCCCCTCTATTAACTATGTCTGGATGAATTATTAAGGTATTAAAAAATGTACTTATAATATATATTATCCTTGCACCCTTTTCAGACCAAATGTTGAACTTTTGCTGCCAGCAGCATTTCCAAACAAGAACTATACTCTTGATCTAACAGAGGGAAAAGGTGACAAGAAGTCAGGTAATTCTGATACACTGCCATATTCATTGGATAAGTATACTATTAACAGGGTTCTCCCTAGCTTTCAGCACAACAGGTAAGGGACCTTTTCAAACCAGTAAAGCATTTGGTTAATGCTGGACGTTCTGCAAAGGATAAGTGACAATTTGAACTTATGCACCACGTTGGTTGAGCTAACGTCAGCGCTGTCCCTCTAAGTATAAAAATAATCTTCACACAATCAAGTTTTTTCTCTAGCCGTACTGACTGCTTGTGTTCTTCTGAATTGCCATGCTCTGATATTGCGGCCTTCCTGTAATGTGTACCGGGCGTAGTAGCATATTTCACATTTTTGCCTGTTTTAATTAATATGCTTTTTTTTACAAAGACAACAAAACATTCCATCGCCCTCTTTAAATGCCAGCCACCATACAATACTTTTACAGCAGAATACAATGTCATAAATGATCCAGTCATGCTTGAAAACATGGGGCTTTGATGGTAACTGCCTGCTCATTTCATTGGAAGATAGCGACTTCAGCTGTTTTTTGCACATAGTATATGAAGGTGTAAACCATGGGGTTGGCTACTACCAAAAGCGTCTTCCAGAATGCATAAATGCTGCTTTTCTGAAATACCAGACTGTTTAAATGTTTTTAATTCTGATGCTGCTTCCAATGGCATTTTGGCAGTGTGGTCTCTTTGGGTGGTAATTGG